TAGGTCATTGAGGTTGTTGCCCTCAAAGCCTATAACTTATCTTTGATTCTTCAGTTCTGTCTCTGTCTGATTCTCATTCATTCATATTCATTCTCTCTCTCTCTCTCTCTCTCTCTCTCTCTCTCTCTCTCTCTCTCTTTCTCTCTCTCCCCCCCCTCCTTCCAGCTAACATGAGCTGAGCAACTTTCCTCTGCTACACCTTTTCATCATGATAGTCTGCCTCACTTTAGGCTGAAAGCAACAGAACTGGATGACCATGGACTGAATCTCTGAAACCATGAGCCCAAAATAAACTTTTTCTCTTCTTCAAGTTGTTCTTGTAGGGTATTTTGGTCATGGCTAAAAAAAGCTGACTAATACAGATACCATTTGGTGGAAACTGTGAAAGTTTGAGCAATAATAAGACCCTGCAAACAATAAGGGTTCTAGGGCAAGAAAGATGAAATAGAGAATTAGATGGGGGGTGGTCATGATAGGTCACAGCAACTTATCAAATGCAGGTGAAAGGAGAGAGAAGAAATCAGGATATTCCAGGGTTTGATGAGAGGAAGTAGATGGGGATGCTTCTGGCCAGAAACACGCAAGCAATAAGGATCCATCAGTGCTAGAGTGTTGAGTGGAATCTGGGGTCAACAGAATGCACAAGTACAGAGTTTGGGACAGAGGACAAAGGCTGGACATGAAAATTGGGAAATTGGCAATGTAATGTGGAAGTTAATCTACTTGAAATAGATAACCCAAGGAAGAAATCTATTTAGAAGCTAGTGCCAAAGATAAAATGTTGGGACCAGCAACACTTAATCAGCAGACAGGCCAGAGGAAGGACTGTAATAAGAAATATTTCAATTGTTTTTATCTTCTAAGCTACAAAAATTTCTACTAAAATTTATTTTTTTCCAATACAGTAGCCTTTAACAATTACCAAAAATCATGAATAATACCACAAGATCAGAGCCTGGAAAACTGTACAATTTCCCTATTTTATAAAATGTGCTTTTTATTTTTTTTCACTCTTTTGCTTTCAATATTTTATCTTGGGTATCTTAAGACAAAGTTTTTCCTAAAAAAATTTAAAGTTTCAACTTGATGAGAAATTCAGTTCTCCTTTGAATTTATTTGCTTTTCTACTTGAAAAATTGCTAGATTGAACAAAGTGCTAGATTTAACAAATCTTAGGAGTCAGTTATGCATCTATAACTTATAAATTTTTCTGTCAGATTCTTCATCTGTGATCAATCAAAGGAATAAGGGTTTAAAAATGCTTTGCAAATTCTTATACAGATGTAAACTACAAATATCTTAAAGTTGAAACTTTGTATATTCAAGAGGAAACACCTGAAGATAGAAGAAAACTCTTTTGTCTTAAAATTTCATTACCAAGAGTAGTTTTGTTCCCAAATCTTAGGAAGGGTAATCAGCAGTGCCATGATTGCTAAGAATTAAGAAATCAATTGGTAAAAAATACAAGTATTTCTATTTCTGAGCTGAATTGCACATGTTTGCTTATCAATAAGCTTCACATGAGTGGATGTTGCCAGGTCAAATATCTTTTGAAAATATTTCTAAAAGCATAAACAAATTTTACCTAGAACAACTAATTGAACAAATTTTTTACTGGTTAAATTCCCTGATATTCAATGACATGCTGAGAATATCTCAAATTTATACACACACACACACACACACACACACACACACACACACGAACTCAATTTACAACTAGAAAACTAACATGTTTGATCAAAGGATTTTCATTACACTATTAAATATACAGAGAGGTCCTAAATATGCAGAAAGATCCTATGACACTACTACATATCTCTTTCTATATTTCTTTTTATCTATACATATAAATAAAGTATCTATATCTATGTATATATTTTTTTTAAATTCTGGGGATCAAACCCATGATCTCACACATGTTAGGCAAGTGCTCTAACACTCAGTCAGCTACATCCACAGCCCTCACTATGATACATTAATGAAGTCTGCTTAAAGGAAGACTTTTTGTTCTGCTTTTGGAGGCAGCAAGAACAATGTGCCCAGTAACAGAATAACTGTTAAAATAAGTGAAACTAAAACATTGTCAGTATTGTGAAATATTGTCATCTATAATTATGTTGCTAACTTTATAAAAAGTTTCCCTTTTGTATATTTAACAATAATATTTTAGGGTAGACCTTATATCACACAGCAAATCAAAGTGAATATTATTTGTCAGTCCACATTCTCATAACTTTTTCCAGTTATCTGCTCTAGTGCCAAGTTACAATCTTCACACAAACAAACAAACAAAAAATCACAGGGCCTAATTCATATACTCACCTTTTGTTGTTCTCTTTCTTTCAAAATAGCTTCAAACTTCTCATGCTTTTCTTCAGGTGCTTTTGCCATGCACACAAACCACTTATTTTTTGCTGTATTATGTATCTTCCAACCGTTAACAACAATGTGTTCCCAGAACAACAATGTGTCAACTGCTATGGAAGTCAGCTGGAAATTAATGGGCAAAGGCCAATAAGCAAAATATAAAGTATAATATCATATTAACATGATCATTCAATTCATGAAAGTTTCAAGACCACAAAATTCTTCAAGATATTTTTGCTTTTGTAAAAAGAATTGAAAAACTAAAGAAACAACTCTATGTTGGATATAGTCAGTGCTCAATTATGTAACTTTTCTAACTCATAACATATTAAATGAAATTAAACACTACAAACTTATTAACGTTCATTTGCTCTATGTCTAAAAATATTGTTGAAGTTTCTAAAGTAATATACATTTTCAGGGACAATTTGTACCCACAGAACAATCCTCTATTATTTAATAAACAGCACAGTAATAATGAGAATAAGTCAATAAAACACAAAACAAGTGGATATACCAAAGCTGCCATAAAATGAGGAAACACAAATATCAAACCATTATCATGACATGTAGTTAAAACACATTCTTTGAAAACCATATTATCTCATATAATTCTCATGAATAAAGATTCACAAAATAATTTCCTTGAAGATGAGTGCACATCAAATTGTTTCTAGTTGTTATCACAATTTTGTCTAAACCATGAAGATGGATTTGTGAATGTCCCCCAGGAAGCCCTTTATGGCCACTCTCTGACCAACAGGTAGATTACTGTGACAAAACTTGTAAGAAAACTTGACTGTCCAAGTCAGTGCAGACCACTCTGAAACAAAGGTTCCAAGACAGAATAATAGAGTTCAGAGGGCTGTGTCAGTGTCTATAGCAACTGAAGTGAGTGTTAGGTTTTAAATGTAGTGTCCTCCAAAAGCTCACATGTGAGATAATGCAACAAGCTTTGGAGGAGTAATGACAGGATTATAGCCTCAGCCTAATCAGTGAGTTAATGATGGGATTAACTAAAGTGGTAAGGTGTGGCTAAAGAAGGTGTGAATTGGAGTGAGGCTTTGGTGTATATATTTGTATCTAGAGGGTGGAGTCTCTCTCTGCTTCTTGATCGTCAGGATGTGAACTGCTTCTTTCTGCCACACACTTCTCCATGATGTTAACCTCATTTCAAGCTCAAAGAAATAGAGCCAGCCTTCTATGGACTGAGACCCCTGAGACTGTAAGCCCTCAAATAAACTTTTCTCCTTACAGCTGTTCTAGTCAGATCTTTTAATCACAGCAGTGAAAAATCTGACTCAAACAGTGACTGTTTTTATTTGTCTCCGCTAAAATTTATTGAGTAGCCATGGCCATAGATAAGAGTGAAGCCAGGAAAAGGTTAAAGGTGGCTTAGAGAGTGACTCTATATAGCACTTACACTGGCATGGTGAGTCCTCTCTCAAATGATTGATTTTGCTTGGTAAGTTTTGAACAGAAGCAGAGGTTCTTGGCACTCAGTTTCTGATAATATGCTTTCTTTCATTCGTACCCAAATGTCACCACGCATTACCTGCTCTTAGACTATTAATTCCCAAAATTCACTATCAAATGATGTTGTAGAGTTGTGGGTCTTTCAAACTCCCAGGTTGCATTTGGTTTAGAATAAAATTATATCAGACATTATAATTTTTGTACTTTTCTTCTTCCTTTTACATATTTGATTTATGTTCACATTCTGTTCAAAGTAGCAGAACCTCATAATGCATGTCATTTTAAGTACTAATGGGCAGAGGGAAAATAAAAGTTATTTATTTCATAATTATACTCTGAGCCCTCCTTAATAGCTACAAAAATAAACAAGTAAGAGATTATAATAAACTGGTAGAAAAAAATTGTTCAAAAAAATTTCAGATTATACATGTTAACCCCTCCGCCCACACACAACTTGTTTCCCTACAATACCAGTATCTGTGATTAGCTAAGTGAACCTTGCACTGCACTTTAAAAGATCCTACATTCCACTACGTTTATTACCATTTAAGCAATAACTCTAGATGAAGAAAACCAAAGTAGCCACATGTAGCTTATGTACTAAACATTGCACTTTATTGTTTGTGTGTGTGTGTGTGGGGGGGGTACAGGGAATTCAATCCAATGGTGTTTAAACAGTGAGCCACATCTACAGCCCCCTTTTTTTTAAATTTTCAGACAGGGTCTCACAAAATTGCCAAGATTGGCTTTTAATTTATAATCCTCCAGCCCCAGCCTCCTCAGAAGCTAGAATTATAGGCATTACACTGGAATTACTGGAATTACACTGCACCTGCCTGGACTTAATTTAAAATCAGCACAAAAAATTCCTCCCACAAAGCCCAAAAGACAACGAGTTCACACCCCAAAGTCATCAAGGTAATGCTCCTAACATGCACAGGTGTATGCCCTGGGCCTACCACCTCTAGAACCCGGCTCTTTCTTCCTTTCCCTCCTGGGTTACTCAAGTCACATCACTGCCCTCTTCTCACCCTGCTGGCTCTTACTTTACTATTTTTTTTCATCATGCCTCATTTAGCTCAAAAGGCTTTGGTGTTTAGCCACTGAATCAAGTCAAAATATGTAGATTTATTCTATGCCTGAAGCTCAGCATTGATGGAAATATTGATCATTGTTCTTGAAAATTGCAGAACTGGAAACCAGCTGGGAACTACTAGGATCAGGTAGATATGCATCATCTGGCACACCAACTCTGAAAAGGTGCCTACCATTCTGGCAATACCCACTAAGTGTCGAAATAAACCACTCCTGAATTAGTTTCCCAGAAAGATGGACTTTGAGTAAGAAACTTCTATCTTCTTAACCAACTAGCTTTTCAAATAAAGTCTCCTTCCTTGACTATATATATATCTTATCTCCCATTTGGGCCATGAGCAACTAGACGGGCCCTGTAATATCCCTGCTCATTTACCTGAGGATTTTTTCCACAATGTTGTAATGTTCCCACCACTCTGGTTTTGTCTACTGCTTTCCTGCTTGTCCTGTGACTACTGATGCATTCTCCAGGATGGGGTTCTCATCGAGCCACCCCACTCTCCTCTGTTGCACAGATTCTTTCTTCTTTTAATGTGTGAACCCAACTCTTCCATGAAGAGAACCTGACTACTCAAGCCTGTGCAATCAAACTTTCTTGGAAATAATACAGCTGAACTGAGGACCAGACTCAAAATGTAGTCCACCTACTTCATAATGCTATCATAATTATGAATTATTTTATAAAATAAGTAGATGCTTCTTGTTTACTTCAAAAGATATAGTGATGTATGGGCTGAGTTTGTGGCTCTATGGTACAGTGCTCGCCTAACACATATGAAGCCCTGAGTTCAATCCTCAGTACCATATAAAGATAAATAAATAAAGGTATTGTGTCCAACTACAACTAAAGAATAAATTTTTAAAAAAGGATATAGTGATGTATATAGCTTTATGATTTTAATCATAGCATTTTTTCAATATACTCACAACAAGAGTTAACCTTCTCTATGAAGAACACTCAAAGATTAAGGATAAGCCCAACAGTGCTTTTTCCTTAGTAGAATTTTTTAAAAATAAAATAATAATTAAATAATAAATATTATCTGAAATGAAAAACAGAAATTCCAAGTTTCAGTAGATTAAAAATATTAATTTTATAGAAAATATCAAAAAACTGAATTAAAATTAATTAATTAAATGTGGAGTATCTCAGTTTAATAGTTTCTAAAGTCACTGATTTTTTTCCAGAATCAGAAAAATCCAAGGATCAGAGTTGAACATGTGATTATTGCTCAAAGCTATACAATTTGCAAATTCTCACTCTTAATTCAACTCTCTTTCATTTAATGAGATAAGGTTTATCCAAAACTAATATACTAGAAATCTCAGTGGACATGCTGGTACCTGTCAATATTTTTGGAAGAATAAGATAGATAATATTCAAGTATTATATACACTGATAAAGATTAACAGAAGAAGATGTTAAAATATTTATTTTAAACAAGTAACTGGTGTCTACATAATGTAGTCAGTCCTCATTCTGTTAATCAATAGTACAAATATATAAATTTCAAAAGTAAACCTTTAAAATTATAATTTATTCATAAGTAGAATATTTAATGTTATATAACATATTTTTGTAATAATTCCTCGATTTTTATCAAATAATAGCAGACGTTTTTCTGGCATTCAAATTAATAGAGGACATTATTTATTGCAGTAATAAATACATTAAAAACAAACTGACTTTTTATTATAATGCTAAAATGCAGCTCAATCCTCAAACTTTTTGTATTCTTGACTAATTCCCTTCAATTAATAATGTTCAAATTTTAAGTGTATCAGAAGTAACTATTATGCTCTTCATCCTCTTTTCAACATTGTAAATTTATTATTTTTTAATTACAAATATATTTGATGTAGCATATGAGCTAATGTTATAATTGCTAAGGTAGTTTTGGTTTACTCAATTAAACATTAGGCACCAATTTAAAACTATGCTTATTTGGCAATAAAACATGAAGTTAAAGAAAACAATAAGTAAGATAACACTTTAATGAAAAAGGACAAAAAAATTACACAGCTCATGGTCTTACACAGTTTAAAACCTACACATGAAAAGAAAAATTGAAAAAAAAATTTAAAAATATCATTTAGAAACCATACTTAATTTTATACACAATATGTCTAATATCTTAAACATAAGTTAAAAATGAAAAGTGGAATTTTTTCTTTAAAAAAAATCTTACTTTTAAAAAACATCTTAAGAAGAAGAAAATGTCGAGGATAGTGACAAGATGGCGAAGTAGAGGGTTTGCTTCCATGGTGGCTCTCTGGTTTGAACCAAGAAAGGCAAACTGGCACCTTTTAAGCAAAGTGGGTGAATGATCAAGGATTTGGGGAGACTTTACTGGAATTTAATACTGGACACTCAAAACAGCAAGGCACATGGGCAAGAGTGGCCAAAGCACCCCATCCCCATCAGTTGCCCTCCCAGGACAGTCCCTGGCCCAAGTAATGGAGGAGCTTGGGGGGGGGAGGGATGTTGCTGTGCAGTTCCGGCCCAGACCATTCTCCTCTCCAATTTTGGAACAAGGTTGCGGGGGCTCCTGGAACAGGTCCAGAAGTCTTCTGCCACCGAACCCCTTGTGGTTGGCCAGAGTCATGTGTAATTTGATTGGGGACCCAGGAGAGCAGATATAATAAAACAAGGGAAATAGTAAATATAATAAAACAAGAAAATCTCCAGCCCCAGAGCCTCGGTAGGGGAGTGGCTGGAAGCAAGAGCCAGAGCAGACCTTGCATGAACACAGTAAAGCAATAAAGGAATTAAAGGAACTCTCATTCTCAGGAAGACTGAGGTGAGTTGGGGTACACAGAGTTTAGAGATCAGAGTCACTGCCTGAAACAACAGTAAGCTGTGCTGCGCGGTATCCATGAGCAGGAAGGAAGTAGCCATTTTTCCCTTGCTATGCAGAGCACAACAGAAGGAAGCATTGTGTTGCAGCCCAGGCAGTGCGGCACTATGTGGACAGCTACTAAAGCCAAGTGCTGGCAGAGCCCAGTCTGGCCCAGAAAACAAGCCCAGCAAACCCACACTGCATGACAGAGAGTGTGCCTAAGTGACCAGGAGAAAATCAAGCATAGAGAGAGGTTTACACAGGAAGAATAATGGTCATGGAAATGCACCTGGCTTCCTCCTCCGCTTCCAATATGGCTGCTTCCAGGACCAGAGAGAGAAGCACCTGACCGAGAATTCCAAAGGCAGGAATAAGGAGAAATTGAGCTATGAAACTGAATCAGAGAACAGGAATTCTCAGGTCCACGGGTGAAGCAGTGTACTATGAACAGGCTCCTACACCACCCAAGCAGAACCCAAAGAGGATTCCTGACTGCAGTCTTGCAACATATACCTGCAACACTTGGGCCCTGGAGGTATGATGAGGTAAAATCTCCAGCCAATTGGCACCCAGCAAAGAGATCAAACCATACTTAAGCCTACACCTTGCCTCCAGTGGTTCCACCTCCATGATGAACCCTCTCACCCTAGCAATCCCACCCATCCTGAAGGTGGAGCTAGCATCATATACCAGACAACCTCATGTATATTTTGAGAAGGTAATCTGAGAAACTTTTGATCT